TCTACTCACTGGGACTATAATTATAGCAATCTTTACAGATTATACTTATTTTAGAATACTGCAATTTCAAAGTCCTTTAATTATAACACAATACATGTTTAAAATAACTTGGCTATAATTATAGAATAATTTAAATTTATGTTTACGAGGTTAGATGACACTTGGCTCTAGCCCCTGTGCTTTCCTACGTAGGTTTGTTTTTAAAAGTCAGTGCTATTAATGATAGATAGACATGTGTCTTATAACTTGTGAAAGGAAGTAAAGAATGCACATTTTTCCAATTTCTTATAATAATTATAGGCTGATAATAAAATGAACTGCTACTACCATCAAAGCCCATCCAAGTGGCTCTGGTCAAGCTTTATGCATTTTAATCTCCTGTCTCTCCCAAACTCCCCTCCACCCTCCTTCACTGAAGTTCAGGGTGTCCTGACTTGGTCTGCGGCCCTCCATGTTTTGTGAGTTAGCATGTCATAGATGAGACTGAGAGACTCAAAGAAGGCCTCTAAACCAGGCTGAACCACATGGCCTCACCCCGCAGGGCCCAAGGTTGGCCGCACAGTTTTGCAGGGTGCAGCACAGGGAGCATTGACAGCATTCCAGAGCTTCCAGACCAGAGGGCTGTACCCCATTCATATTCAGTGTATGTGGATTCAAATGCAGAAGCCAGCATTTTTAAATAGAGGAAGAGAAAACCCACACTTCTTGTAGGGCTGGTGACACCCCAGCCTTCCCTTCGGGAGCTTGTGCCTGTGCCTGTGGGACGCTGGGTGTCCTAAAGAGGGAGCACTTGCTCCCCCCCGCCCCCACACACACAGCCCCACAAACCCACAGAGAGAATGGGAGAATGCTTGTACAAGGTTCCACTAAGACCTTGTGGAGCCTGTGGTCTGGCGGCCAGGTTAGTGTGTGGGGATCCCTCCCTCTGCCTCCTCATGGAAGAAATTGAAGCAGTGGTGGAGAAGCTAGGGGAACTGATAGGATTATCCTGAGGGGCAGATGGTGACCAAATGGAGGAGTGTGTGAGGGGGTCACCTTGAACGTATGCAGGAACTTCTCAAATGGCAAATTCTCACACAATGTAACTGTTAATAAAATCCCTCCATGGAGTTCATGCGTATTGTTGTACCCACCTTACGTGTGTGCTCACTGGACTGATGAGAATTATACTCGCACACAGAGTGTTTGCTGGCCTCACCGGCCATCTGAGGCATTTTCAGGGGTGACCTTTGATGACATGATTTTCCCTGTATCTGCAAACTTAAGAAATGAATTCCTGCCTCAGACATGACGTTTTCTTAATGAAACCCAGTGACCTCTTCTAAAGTTGGGATGTTCTTGAAGCCTGACCTCTTGCTCTAACTTACGCTTTCTCATCTACTTATGAGAGGAAATACAGAATCTAGTCCTACATTCAAGGTGATTTTCCCTGATCCTTTTCTATCCCAAACCAAATGATGCATCGCATTTAAAGTTCCTCGTCCTACTTAAGAGGGGCGAACGCCGAGTGGGCAGGCGCCTTCCTAGGAGGCGAGTGGAACTCACTCGTCAGCTTGAGGTGGTGGGACAGGGGACAGGAGCCAGCGGCATGGGCTCTGTGCTGGCACTGCCTTTCCCTGAATGACCCTGGACAAGTCCTCGCCTTCTGTAGGCCTTGGCCGAGGCCTGTGGCTGTTTCAGCCATCCCACTGAAACACAAGCAAGTTGGTTTGGATAACCCCTAAGGCTGCCTCCATCTCTAATACTCTTGTCTTCAAAACTATTAAACATTCATTGAGCACTTGCTGTATACACACATCATTATACTGGAGTCCGGGCTGGGAAAGTCCAAGTGGCTGCCTTGAAGGAGATTAGAAATCCTTTCTCTGGTTCAGATGGTAGGTGAAGCCCCTGCTGACGAGCCCAGCGTGGAAGCTCGTAAGCTGGCGTCCCAGGCAGCCACCCTCGTCCCCACCTGCAGATCAGATTTGCAGTAGACATTCCCTCTGACACAGGGCTGTGTGCCCATGTTTATCTTCTAGAACAGCAAACATTTTTTTCCTAAAGGGTCAGATTGTAAATATTCTCAGTCCAGGAGCCATACAGTCTTTGTCACAATGATTCTACTCTGCAGCTGTAGTGAGATGTCAGTATAGTAAGCGGGTGTGGCTGTGTTCTAATAAAACTTTATTTGTATGACAGTTTGCTGAGCAAGTTCTAGAGTTGTTTAAAGAGTTAACACCCTAGAAGTGTTGCCTTCACATAGCGGGTCTGTGGACTTGGCCGGACGATTACCGAACGTGGGCCCGGCTCAGCATTGGCTCCGACTTCAGTTTTTTCACCAGCAGAGACCTGACTGTAGGTCTGTTTTATTGCTGGGCTTGTTTTACGGGAAGAGCATTCAGGAATCTCCTCTGGGAGTTAAACTCACTCCCAGGAGTCCCAGGCCCCCCCCCCCCAGAGCCAGGAGAGCTGATGCTTGCCACCTTTGTCCTCAAGGACAGAAACTTCTGTCTAAACAGAGGCTCTTTGATTGAGGGTGACACAGCAAAGCTGACTTGTGCCCATTTTTAGAAACATCCACAGGTGCTCACCTGGTTCATCCCTTAGCTGCTTTAGAATGTTCTAAGAGGGAAGAATACTGTCTGGCCGCCATGTCCCAGGGTTTTGTTGGCAGCGGGCTCTGTGGGGTTGTGAAAAAGCAAGGCAGCAAATCAAGAGGAGTCATGCAGAAAACTGCAAAGGGCTGGTCCTAGGAAAACAGCCTTCTTAAATCCTTTTGGGGTGTAAATAAGTAACTTGTTGAAGCCTCGGAAAATTGTGGTTTCCACTCCAGCAAGGACCCGAGGGAAGGGGGCAGTCGTTTCTTCCCCCGGGAGCTGGTGTTTCAGCCAGCCACACTTGGGGCTTTGTTTTGTTTGCAGGGAGAGGTGACATCCAGCCTCAGTTGGATAGCGCTCTCCAAGACGTCAACGATAAGTATCTCCTGTTGGAAGAAACAGAGAAGCAGGCTGTGCGGAAGGCTTTGATCGAAGAACGCGGCCGGTTCTGCACCTTCATCTCGATGCTGCGGCCAGTGATTGTAAGTCAGTGGAAAGTTCCAGAAGGCCCCAAATGCCCGTTTTGAGGAGACTTTCCTTCTTTATTTATCCATCCATCACCAAGTCCTTGGGAATCTGCTGTGTGTCAGAAATCGTGGTTTGTTAATCACTTCTGTAGACCAGTGTTGCTGTGCAAGTTGGTGATGGCCGCACGGCCCACTGCTTGCTCACAGGTCTTGGCACCAGTTGTCCCACTTCTTCTCCCCAAATGCAGAAGGCTTAGCAGAGTGGTTCTCAAAGTGTGCTTCCCTGCCCAGCAGCATTACCGGGAAACTGGTTAGAAATGCATGTTCTTGAGCCCAACTGAGACCTACGGAATCCCAAATTCTGGGGGTGGGCACCCAGTCACCGGTGTTTTAAATAAGCCCTCCTGGTGATTTTGAGACCCACTGGCCAAGCTCTACCAAGGAGTGACGGTGAGATTAATCTGGGAAGAGAATCAATAAATCAAATCAGGCTTAGTTTTTAAGTAAATTGTGTGCATACTGTAATTCAGAACTTCTGCTGGAGGTGTGCTCAAAGCCGGTAAGAAGACCCCAGCTCACCTCCCTCACTAAAGTTCCCGAATATGCGTTGTTCCCCTGAGCGTAGACCTTTTCCATGGATCATTCTTGCTTAGGCCCACAGTCCAAGCGTGGCACTTCGGTAAGGTGAATAACTGTTCCTTCCATTGTCCCCTGTTCCTGTATCACTCGCCTTTCATTAAATCGGTGGGAAAAAGAAAACAAAGAAGGGAAGCAGTTCACCTCTACTGAACACAATGATCTATCAGATCTGGGTCAAAACATCTCTAGATCGTGTCCTCTGTTAAACCTGAATGTCGGCAGAGCCTCAGCCTGGGGAGGGCCGTGCTGCAAGATCTGAGCATGCACGGGCAGACCATCCGAGCCGACCTGCCAGCCCCCAGACCAGGCAAGGAAGGGCCACATGTCGGCTTTGACTTTGGTTCACCGATGCCTGGGGCATACAGGTCACTCCGTGATTAGGGCAGGTATTTCCCAAAAGAAAGGGCTGGTGGTGCCTTCAGCAACGAGGTACCAGTTCTGGTACCTCAGTCAACTTCTGAAGAGTCAAAAGGGTTAGACAGTGACCCTAATCAAAACAGTTGGGCCAAGATGATGAAGGGAATCACTCATGATGATAACATGTTGTGAATTACTGCCCTTCAGGAAGAAGAAATCTCAATGCTGGGCGAAATCACTCACCTTCAGACCATATCAGAAGATCTGAAGAGCCTGACCATGGACCCTCACAAACTGCCTTCCTCCAGTGAACAGGTAGGAGCTGGGGGTTGAGAGCAAACCATAGATGAGGTTCAAGGTCCTGAAGGTTCCTTGAGGCATCATCGCCTTCAAAATAAAAGTTGTGTTTCACATGGAGCTATATAGTAATCATCATCGCTAGTCATTGATAGAGCTGTGTGCCGGGCATTGCTCTCAGCTCTTCATACAGACTTCCTCATCTAGTCTTCATTATTATCTCCACTGTATAGAGAGGACACTGAGGCACTGAATAAAATAACTTCACCAAGTTCACCTGGCTAGTTAGTGGTAGAACTGAGGGTTGAACCAAGCAGTCAATTTCCAGAGCCCCGTGCTCTCATCTACCCTCTAGAAATACACTCTCCTAGGAACATGACAGCGGAGTGTCTTGGCCGTTACTGTGATCCCTTGTAGTTTAGTAATGCATGAGGATCTCTCTTATCTTACGAAAAAATGACCTTTTTTGTGCTTATTCATTTGGTTCATGTGACATTAACACTATATCAAGTGAGAAGTGACCTATGTGGGGGAACAACTGATTAATCACATGATGGTTTTTGCCCTTTATATAAAATTCTTACCGCCTCCCTGGAGAGCCAGCTCAGACGACTTCTCTTTTCCATTCTATGAAGTTGCTTTTATTAGAGCACATGCATGCATTCACTCAGTACATAGACATTTATTGAACACGTACTACATGAATGAAAGGTAGACCTTACACTACACACGCAAGTAGTTCTTTGTCAAGCAAGGGAGACGGGTGTAGAAGTAACTGAGAGAATTGGTTTGTTCTTGATTCTGTCAGGTTTTAAGAGATCGAATCCTGGTCAAATAGGGCACAAGTGACCATTGAAGATCAAACGGCTAAAATGCAAGATCAACAGATCCTGAAACCATTATCGTCTTTGTGGTGCTATAAGACGAAAACCCTGTAAATTCTAGCCTTGGGTATAAATGGGTTTTAGCATTAATCTGTTACTGTAAATCTTGCTCTTTTTTTACTGATAATTCATGATTCTCCCCCCCCGCCCCAATTAATTGTATTTTTGTTTGTCTCCGGAAAAAGGATTATGACATGATGGATTTGTAGTGTGGCTCTTTAGTTAAAAAAAAAAAATTAAAAACCCCGTAACAACATTTTTACTTCAATCCCCACCCTTCGATAATGGTGGAATTTTAAGAGTTGATGGACGTTTCCCTTCTCAGCACCTCACGTACCCACCTGGCTCTGTCCTCTTTAGGTGATCTTGGACTTGAAAGGTTCTGATTACAGTTGGTCCTACCAGACGCCACCCTCTTCCCCCAGCACCACCATGTCTCGCAAGTCAAGTGTCTGCAGGTAAGTGAAGCTGGCTTCTGCCCGTGTTCAGGACCAGGAACCTTCTTTATGCTAATGTGAGCGATAGACTTGTCTTTACCCCTTAGAATGGCTCACTTTAAACAGGAAATGGTGACATGATCAGTGAAAGAACTTCATATGATGTTGGTCTCACTCTTTAGTCTCGGGATTAGTTTTGGAAATCTGCAGGAAAACGCTGTCAGGCCTTAGACTAGTGGACAGAACTTGCTCCCTCTCAGTTGTGCATTGTAGGGATTTTCCCACTTTATGAATTCGCATTGGGTTTTCTTGTTCTTGTACAGACCAATCTTGCTATTGCCAGAAGAAATGGCGGAAGTAGCAGTGGCTTACGACCTCAGTCCCCCCCCACCCCAGCTTTTGTCTTCAGGTTTTTCATAAAGTAAATGGAATCCTTGCTTTGTTACCCACATTACCACCACCGCTCTTAGCCAGTACTGTTACTGACACACGGATCAACTGCAGTAGTTCTGCCACCCGCGAAACTGTTTGCTAGCAGTTTGCTGTTAGAAGACCACTCCTGGCTTGCTGACCACAAAGCCTGTTCCCCTTTCAAAGGATGGAAATGTCATCATGCGTCATTTACCTTTCTTGGTACCCTCGACCTACTAATCTTTGTCTTTGATGGTTCAAAGCCAAATGGATTTCCACTTCCTGTGAATTAGCATTGAGAGTAAAGAGCAGGATGGATCTGCCGAATCTGTGTATGGTTATGTCTCTGTACATACTTATGTGTGTTTGTTTCATTTCATATCTGACTTGTGCAGTATACACTGAGCAGGAAGTTCAGACAAAGATGCTGCATCCTGACGTTCTGCAACCTGAACATGTTGGATGGTTTCGTGTCATCTTTTATGTCTGTGCATGTGTGTATGATGTGCGTGTGTGTATGACAAATCTATTGTTTCTGTTGGTTTTTTGGTGACTAAGAAAACATTTCTCATTACTATAAAGCAAAGCTGCATGAGTATCTTTTCTTTCTTAGAATTTTCGCTTCAATAGAAAATCATGTTGTACTGACAACATCTGCTATGAGCTTGCTGGAGTGCAGTTGTAGTGGCGTCACTGTCGGCCCCCAGATGCCCTTGTCTGGCTGATTGGGGAGGAAAGCAAAAATCATAATTATCCCCAGAAGCAGTGACTTCTGCCAGCACGCTCCCCTGTATCTGCCAGAACATCCACACCGAGTAATTCTAGTGCAGGACAGTCCCACAGCCCTTGACCACCACCTTAGGTGTCAGAGTCTGCAAAATTGGACAGGAATCGCTTGCAGAGTTAGGAGCAGAAACCACAAATGCCCTAATCCCAGTCTGGGTTGTTTATTCCATCTCTTCAGACGCTTCTCCAGCTGCCCTTTAGATGTCAGCTCTGTTTGTTTGGACCAGGGGGACTTTGTGCAGTTTTCTGTTTTTTATAGTCTGAGTTACAACACAGAGTGTAGAGTGTATTCCTTGTGTCAGGAAATAGAATGCAGACAAACACCCAGAGGGTGTGTGTCATTTTTTTGACATTTTGTTTACTATTTATTCTTGGAAGCAAATGGTTTAGCACTGATTGCCTTTCGTTGCTGAAAGCTGCCTGCCTCTTGCCCCAGGGATACTGTTAATACCAGGCCCACAGGTATTTTAACAGAGAAACACCTATGATCAGGATAAAACCATTCATTAAAGCATCAACTTTGTAAATAAAAGGTGAAACACACTGACACGGAGTTCATTTGCTGATGGTCTTTACCGTGGCCGTGAACCAGGCTCACCGAGGATGAAGTTACCTTGAGACGTTCATTGGCACCTGCGCCACCAAAGCTATGGTTGGCTGGGTTGACCTTGGTTTCCTGGAATCCAGATGGTCCAACCAGAGGTGACACTTGCACATTCCATCCAGGTCACGCCGAAGCCTTTGTGCTTTCTGTTATAGGGCCATGGTTTCTGAAAGCGGATGGGCAGCTGCGATCAGCCCCGTCTCTTTTCATGGCAGACATCAGGTCCTCTAGCTTTGGTGGTCGATGACATGGCAGAATTGGGCAGCACTTGACTCTTTAGAATCATAGGCCTCCCTTCCAGGGACGCCTGCCTCATTGCACCATCATAGAACTGAGTCCTGGCAGCTGGTGTTTTCACCTTTGCTCATGTGAGGAAAAAAAAACAACAACAAAAACCCCTTTTGTTTCCTAGCTTACTGATTTGGTGTTTTAAAACACAGCTTCCTGTTTGCGCTGCGTCTCCGAGGCAGAGAGCTGATCACATTATATTGTTCTCCCGCCTCTGCCCCCTTGTTTTCTGTTCCCTCCCTTCCTCTGACCCCTGTGCCCGCCACCCTCCTTGCCCCCCACAGCAGCCTGAACAGTGTCAACAGCAGCGACTCGCGGTCCAGCGGCTCACACTCGCATTCCCCCAGCTCACACTACCGCTGTCGCAGCTCCAACCTGGCCCAGCAGGCGCCCGTGCGGCTGTCCAGCGTGTCCTCCCACGACTCAGGATTCATATCCCAGGACGCCTTCCAGTCCAAGTCACCATCCCCCATGCCGCCAGAGGCCCCCAACCAGGTAAGGGTGCCCTTGGCTCTAGGAGCGGCTGTCATGCCTGGTGCCCAGACCACCATAGATGGCTGGAACCATAGAAGGACCTTGGCTTGGACAGACCTCTGCCTTCTGACACGAGAAGCCTCTGGTTTTATTTCTCATCTTTAGATGTCTTGTTCCCCAGAGGGGAGAGATACTTGACATTGGGGTTGTAGCCTTGTGTTCATGGTGGTGATGGTTGAGTCACCACGTTGATTTGGGGAGTTCTCATTCGTAAGTAGACCAACTCAAAGAGGTTTGGCCTCTCTCTGGCGTCCCTGTAAGTGCCAGCTTAGCCTGATGCTGTAATGGGCATCCGCACAGTGGTGACACCCCCGTCCCCCATCTCTGGTTCTCTCTGTATGGTGGTGATCTGTCATGGAACAGTGCCTTGGAACCTTTCCTTGTCACTCACAGGTTCCTTTTATCAGTTTGTGTTGCGAATGAAATGAATCATCAGAGCCCTTGCTGCTAATTCTGTTGGCACTTGGCTTCTGGGAGAAGACATGGGATTGGTTTAGGTGGCGCTAGACCCAGCCCAGTCCAGTGCAGCCCAGCCCAGTGGGTCCAGCTGGAGCAGAAGGCAGGAGCTTGGTAGGGCATCTGAACACCCTTCACCACCTCTCCTCTCTGCCCTTGCCCCCTAGTACCAGTGGGCTGGCCTCTACTTAGTAAACAGCACAAGATAGAGACACGGGGAAACGGAGACCTTCCAGGGTGCCCCACAGTGCCATCTGCTGGTGAGCATGGTGGCTTCCATCATGCGCGTTTTAAGGCTGACCACAGCCTCTGGTCCAAGATCCTGTGGACCCAGGTCACGTGCTTGTCTTGTTTGTCCAAGTATCCAGTTTACCTAAGAGTCACTGAGTTTCTGCTGTATGCCTGGCACCATCCCAGGCCCTCCTACATGTTATCTGTGCAGTCCTTCCAACAACCACATATCGTTATCCCTATTTTGTTGCAGAAACGGAGGCTCAGAGATGTGAGTGACTTGCCTGAGTTGCACAGTTAGGTGACTTGCAGGTCAGGGACTTGGAACAAGGGCTTCTGACACCTGGTCCAGAGCTCCTTCTGCTCCACCTCAGCCATAAGGTGCCCCTGGGAGAGTGTTTTGGGGAGCTCGTCATATAGAAGCAGCAGCTGAGGTATCTTGGGAACCTAGGCCAGGAGGTTACTTGCCAGATGTGTCTGATGTTGGTGAACCAGAGCCTCTCGGATCACTGCTCCCTTTGGCATTTTTCAGCCGTCCCAGGAGACTGTGGCCTCTGTCTGTCTCCCTGGGACAGAGACTCCATTTCAAACGGAAACACTCCGGGCCAAGAGCCGCAGCTTTACGTTCTCATGTGCTTGTCCCAGCTGGGGTGCTTTGGCTTGGTCACTCAGGTGTCACCCGCCTGTCCCCTGTCTGTCCCCGCCATGTGCAGCACTAAACCACACCTGTGTGTCTCCCAAGCAGAGTGTAAATTATTAAAAGGAAACCAAGAACTGGCAAATCCTCAAAGGCTACTCTAATGTGCAGCGTAATTTCTGTGTGTGTTTTTAATCAACTGACAAACTAACCTAGGCTGGTACACTGACACCCTTTCTGAAAAAAGACAGGCCACGCGCCTCAGCCCTCCCATCAGAGACGGTGTGTGGGTCAGGCTGAAGCGAGTGTTTCCGCCTCCAGTAAAGCTGAGGGAGGTAGAAGGTGGTGTAAACCTAAGAGCAAGTGCCCAAGATATGCTTGGCTGGCAACTCTAGGGTAGTTTTAATAAGCTCAGGATGCTGCAGAATTTCATAGAAAAAATGATTTTAAAAAAAAAGGCATTATGGATGCTTATAATTATAAGGTAGAGGGGGAATTTGAGGAAATTGCACAAATCACATAAGCCAGGGGATACAGTCTCCCTATGGCAGCAGTAATGTTATCTTTATTTAGGGAGGGAGGAAGGGAACAAACATCCATGCGGGGCACGGTCCCTTCATTGGTTCGCTCAGTCACATAGGTCCCAATGAATGCCGAATGACAGAATATGTTCCGAATTCTCCCATCTTCCTCTACTCCACTTATTTCAAATTCTGCCCTCACCCACGAGCACTCAGAAGGGGCCTGTGTCTGCGGTGTGGGCCTTGTTCTAGGAGCCCTCGACTCTATCAAAGCAAGAAATGACGTTCTTTAGAAAAAACGTGCAGGAGTCAAAGGACATGGGAGCCTTCAGTCCTGGGGTGGTTTACTGGTCCTTTCTTCAACTTCAGCATACTTGAAGTAGAGGAACCAAAATAAATAGTCCCGGTAAATTAGTGATAGCTGGCTTTGCTTCACATTTGATTAAGCACTATGTACACAGGCACACACTAAATAAAATCTCGTTTTATCTTCATCTGTTATGTATTATTGATCCCCATCCTAGAGATGAGAAAAGGTGAGGTTTAGAGAGATTAAGCCCACGGTGCCCGGACTGAGAAGTGGCAGAAACGGAACTTAAACCCAAACCTTCATACTTAGGATCCTGGCGTGCTACCCAGACACTGAGGTCCCATCACAGCCGGGGTGTCCACCATGTGACCTGTCCTCGCCCTGGCTCCAGCGAGCCCCGTGCACTGTGCGGTGCCTTCTGGGTTTCTTGCTCTTGCAGGATGAGAGAGCTCTGGCCCTTTGCAGGATTCTTTCTTTCTTTGGCAGGTGAAAGGGCTGGACAGGCACAGTGAATATAGGAACTCTTCTGGGGAAATGATAGTAGACCCCAGGAGGGCTGGGCGTATTTAAACAAGTGGGGTGAGCCTGAGGTTGCAGTTAACAATGAAAAAAACTTAGAACACCCACATGGTTCCCAAAGCACCACCTGGGGGACCCAGTTTACATGGAAGAGACGGTCATTGTCACTCATCCATTCAGTGATTTTGAGCATCTGCCGTATGCCGGTACAGGACTAGACACACACACACATTGGGGTCCCGGGGGGCTTACGGTCTGCTGGTCTGGACCTTGCTAGGTCTCACGCTTCTTTTCAAGGGTTTGAAAGCCTCTATATGGGTGCAGCTTTGGGAAAAAAATAACCCTAACACTCTGCTTCTCTCATCCTTCCCTCTTCTGTGTATGTCTGTCTGTCTGTCTCTCTCTTTGTCTCTCTGTGCATGCTCTCCCCCGCCCCCATCTTTGATTTTTTTTATTTCCGGTTATTTTGTGGTGGTGTGTGGTCTGGATTCTGTCGGTCCCCTCGTGTGGTCTCCCCTGCTGCAGAACTCATCCAGCTCGGCCTCCTCGGAAGCCTCCGAAACCTGCCAGTCAGTGAGCGAGTGCAGCTCGCCCACCTCAGTCAGCTCAGGCTCCACCATGGGCGCCTGGGCCTCCACAGAGAAGGTGACCGGCTGGGGTCCCAGCCATGGCGGCCCCACCTCCCGCCCATCCCCTGCCTGCTGCCGGTGTCACAGCCGCAGGAACCTGGAAACGCGCAATTTCCACCAAGAGCTTGAGAACAGGGTGGGGGGGGAGGGGGGAGGGGGGACAAGGCTGAGGGCTTTTTTTTTGAGTGGGCGTCTGGCTCCTGAGCAATGACCGTGAGGTCGTCCCGAGGGAGAGGAAGGGCTATGGGGAACTCGGAGGTGTGAAGGCTTCTTCCCGGATCAGTGTAGCGTGCTCATGCATCTCCCCACCTCCCCTCTCAGGCACCCCACCTGCCTAGTGGCCTCCACGTCACCATACTGTTGGACGTGACATTTCACTGCGTCAGAGGCTGTGTGCTTTTCCGCCTTTCAGTTTGCAACCCCCCATTCTTCACCCCAATTTGGAATCTGCTTCTGAGCCGTGTGATGATTTTGAAAACCTAGAACAAACAGATTCTGTTAAAGATGCTTTAGAATTTTGAAATTTGCATAGTAAAATGAGCAAATCACGATTGCCGAGAAATGATGCTGCTTTATTTAAATACTCAAAAAAACATTGCGAACACCACACATTAAGGACACTGATCATTTTCTAAATGATTCTAAATTGTCAAGGAAATGTTTCCTTGACGGAGTACTTCCTGGGTGTCAAGTAAATGTGCCCGCCCCGCACCCGGCTCTTTCCTCTCGCATCATGGCTCCTAATAATAGTTATTATTATTAAGTATTCAGGTCTTCCCCCTCCTTTGAATGTGAATGCCATCTTGTATCTCCACGCTCATCCTGTTGTATTAATTTTTTTTCCTTCCCCCCCCCTTTTTTTGTTTGTTTCCAGTTATCTAACGGGTTTTCTCACTATAATTTATCAAGTGAGACCCATGTGGGGCCCATGGGGGCAAGCCTTTCCCCTCATTGCCTGCCTGCCCGCCTGCTCCCTCGGGTCACCTCTGTCCACCTTCCAGACTACGCTCATTATTACACCATTGGGCCCGGCATGTTCCCGTCATCTCAGATCCCTAGCTGGAAGGTTTGTGTCTCCCGCCCTCCTCTCCCCTCTCTCCTTTCTCTCATTGCCTCTGTGCTCACCCCTCCTCTGTCCCACCGTCCTTGCCCTGATTCCACCCTCACCCCCCTTCCTTTCACACTCTGCCTTCTTCCCCATAACACCTCTCCCTAAGTAAATTCCCACTGGGACCAAACAGCAGCAGGCAGCTCCCAGATAGGAATGTCCACCAGGAGCTGAGACTGGAGAGGCCCCCGTTAGGAAACATTCCTTGACCCCTGACAGACAGTAGACCCAGATGTGGCCTTACGGGATCCTCACACCCAAGTTCAGTCTGAGTTCTGAGGGTGTCACTGATCAGGGACTGGGAGGGCCTGGCCTCCTTGGCCATGCTCCTCAACGTTTTCCCCAGGGGCCCTTAATGGGCCACAGTAACAACACATAACCCAAAATATCTTTTGGCTTAATCGTGTTTTAACTTAAAAGTACACACAGACTTTATCTTTAGTCTCAATTGTTTTATATTAAAACGTTTGCTTTAATATAAAAATAAAAATGTTTTAATTATTTCCTAGCAAGTCCAACGGATGCCAGGAGGATATTCTACTTTATTTTGAGAAGAGGTCCCTGATTTGAATAGTAGGCCCCGAGGCTGCCAGCATTTTGAGCAGATCTTGACCTCACACCTCACAAGTAGTGTGGACCCCTCAGGCTCCTCAATCTTCCTACTCACCCCGGGGGCCTTCCCTTCCTATGTGAGGACGCCAGAGACCACACCCTGAAGTGCCCTTTGGGGCCCAGTTTTCCGGAAGTAGAGGTTCAGCCTCAGGGAGGGTGGCTGCAGGTCCTTTAGTGCCCTCTGGTGGCCATGCCACTCAAGTGAAGTCGTTTGGGCTGCTAGAGGAGAGAGGGTTCCTTCAGACATTAGAAGGTAGGGCCTCCTCCCTAGGGATGCGGTCTCCACTGGCTGGTGCCTTCAGACACCTTAGACAGTTTGGTCAGCTGTTAACTAAGAGTCTCCTGGTTGTTGAGGGTTTTTCATCTTCGGGTAGATACAAGGAAAGAGGAACAGGGTGCGGGTGGGGGTCCCTTTAGCACCAGGTGGGGGCATAGAAGGGGCCTACAGCCTGAGCTTCCGCTGGGGGACCAGCTGCCTTGTGTGGACAGCTGTGTGGAGGGCCCGCAGCCCTCCAAATGGAGGCCCTGGCGCCTGACCACGCTTGTTCTGCTTAGGACTGGGCCAAGCCAGGGCCTTATGACCAGCCTCTGGTGAATACCCTACAGCGCCGCAAGGAGAAGCGGGAGCCGGACCCCAGCGGAGGAGGACCCGCTGCCGTGGGTGGCGCGCCTGCCGCCGCAGAGGAGGCTCAGAGACCGCGGAGCATGACTGTGTCGGCTGCCACCAGGGTGACGCTCTTGTTCTCTACAGCTGGGTGGGCCCCTCTAGACCTTGCTGGTGGCCGCATGCTGGCCAGTAACTGGGGGCCGAGTCAGCTTTACAGCTTGGGGTACCTAAGTCTCTTCCCCCCACTCCCTGATCTCCAGTGTTTAGAAGGGCCCCAGGGAAAAGCCTTGTATAGGAATCAGTCTCGTAGAACTTTCCATAGTCTGGGTAGGACCCAAGCAAGTGGGTAGCACCTGGGCCCACAGACGCGTGGTGTTCACGGGAACAGAAGAGGAGTGATAGTGAGGCCCCCACTTGAAGAGGTATGTGGAAAGGCTGTGGGGGTGTCAGACCAGGAATTCATGGCTCGGGTGGCTTGTCTGTGCCTCTCTCTGCTCCAACCTGCAGCCTGGTGAGGAGATGGAGGCTTGTGAGGAACTGGCACTGGCCCTGTCACGGGGCCTCCAGCTCGACACCCAGCGGAGCAGCCGGGACTCGCTGCAGTGCTCCAGCGGGTACAGCACCCAGACGACCACCCCGTGCTGCTCTGAGGACACCATCCCCTCCCAAGGTACGAGGCAATGGGGTTGCCACTTGGGCTTCCTGAGCAGGGCCAGGTGAGAAAACGGGGTGATCCTCCTTGCAGGGAGGGGCAGAGAGGGGAACCCATTTGACCACAGCAGAAGCCCTGGGCAGTGGACTGGCTTCAGAACCATTTTCCTCACTCTGGAATGCTTCAGAGAGCTGATCTGGACTTGTCAGTCACCTGCCATCTAAGAAAGTGACTGGACTTTGGCAACTTCCCTTGTTTTTCATTATCAGGTCTAGGGTAGTTCCCAATTGGAACTCAGACAGATGCTGTTAGTGGTAACATCATTTGTGTTTTAGCACTTGGTGCTAAGCACTTCATCTTTATTTTCCCATTTGATCTTTATATAACCACTGATGGGTTATTTTTATCCCTATTTTACATATGTGGGGACCGAGGCTCGGTAACTTACCCACATTCACACTAATAAGAAGCAGAGCTGGAATTTGAACCTCAGGTCTTGGTCTGAAGCCCAATCTCTTAACCTATTCCAACCAAACCCTGTATCAACCCTGCGTCCATCACCCCCATCCCCACTACACACACAAGCCACAAGATGGCAGTCTAACAGCTATTATACAGGAGATCTGTGATAGGTGACCAAGCCTATTTGCAGTCTATCAATCAAAGCCCTTAAGATGGGTCTTAGTGGAGGGCCATTTTGCTGCCCAAGGGACATTGGCAATGCCTGGAGACATTTCTGCTTGTCACAACTAGAGAAGGTGCTACTGGCGTCTAGCAGATGGCCAGGGATGCTGCTAAACAGCCTATAATACACAGCACAAGCCCCCCTTACTTACCTACACCAAAGAATCTGGCCCCAAGTCCCAGTAGTAACGCTGTTCAGAAACCTGAGATGTTTAATCTGTAAGCTTCCCCCTCTCATATGACCCCATTTTGCGAAGTGGTGAGCACACCTCACTAATGGAACCTGCTTTGTACCTTGTGTTCAGGGACTCATTGCCAGTAGCTCCATTCGTTTCCTAGCCCTCACCTAACAATTATGAGGGAGATAGTGAGGGCTGGGATAGTGTGTTTGAGATTTGTGTCTCATGTTGAATTCTGGACTGGAGGGTTCGTGGAATTTCTTTTTCCACCCCCTTTATTTTGCCCAGAGATAGTCAGAGGTAGCTTTGCCTCAGCCTGGCAGTTTTACATTCGCCACCACTCCACAATGTTTGCGTGCGTGCCTGCTATGCCCAGCACTGTTCTAGGTGTGCCCAGGGTCACATCAGTGAACAGAACAAAGGTCCCTGCCCGGGAGTTCTAGACATGAACGGTTTCTGAGGGCAGCACAGAAGCCTGGGGGAAGCTTGGGGTGAGATTACCTTTCCGGCCGTTGGTCCTCCAAACACCAAAGAATCAGAGCGCAGAGCTGCTGCCATAGAGATTTCTAATCAAATCCTATCATCAGTTTCAGATTACGATTATTTCTCTGTAAGTGGTGACCAGGAGGCAGATCAGCAGGAGTTCGACAAATCCTCCACCATTCCAAGAAACAGTGACATCAGCCAGTCCTACCGCCGGATGTTCCAAGCCAAGCGCCCAGCCTCAACTGCTGGCCTCCCCACCACCCTCGGACCTGCTATGGTCACCCCAGGGGTTGCAACCATCCGACGGACCCCTTCCACCAAGCCTTCTGTCCGCCGGGGGACCATCGGAGCTGGTCCCATCCCTATCAAGACACCCGTGATCCCTGTCAAGACCCCAACCGTTCCAGACCTCCCTGGGGTGCTGCCAGCCCCTCCGGATGGGCCAGAGGAGCGGGGTGAGCACAACCCCGAGTTGCCGTCTGTGGGTGAGGGCCCCCAGGGTGTCACCAGCATGCCCTCCTCCGTGTGGAGTGGCCAAGCCTCCATCAACCCTCCTCTTCCAGGCCCGAAGCCCAGTATCCCCGAGGAGCACAGACAGGCGATTCCAGAAAGTGAGGCCGAAGACCAGGAAAGGGATCCCTCCAGCGCCACAGCCCCCCCAGGCCAGATTCCTGAGAGTGACCCTGCAGACCTGAGCCCGAGAGATGCCCCGCAAGGAGAAGACATGCTAAACGCCATCCGAAGGGGCGTGAAGCTGAAGAAGACCATGACCAATGACCGCTCGGCCCCACGCTTCTCTTAGGCTCTCTAAGGCTCACAAGAAATGCTGCCTGTGAGCAACGAACTGTTTAATTAATAATAATTAATAATTTGTCTCGATCCATTCCAATATATAATCAAACAAAAGATTTTGTAGGCAACTCAGAATACAGCTCTTTTGAAAGTACTCTGACACCTTTAGATAAGAAAAGCAACATGTAACTAACATAATCTTGATCTTTTAATTTGTAAATATTGACAGGTTTCTTTCTGCACATTTTAATCTTAGTTTCCCTTTTGATTTTTCTGAAGGTGCCAAATTCCATTTAACTTTTTTACAAGTCTTTGTAAAATTTTAAATGCATAAGCAGGGGGGCGGGGGTGGGGGGTCGGAGCAGGGGAACCAAGAAGTAGTTAATTTCAGAAAAAAAGGGTAACTATACTTAGCTTTTTCTTTTCTCTTTTTTTTCCTGCAAGCTTTTGTAGATGCATTGTAGTAGTCTGGCTTACAAGCAAGTTCAAGTTATTTTAATGTACAAACAACATGGATAAGGGGTAAAACCTTCATTTAAGCATACTACGTTCTGAACGAGAAAAACAGGAGTAACAGTTGATGAGCAATATTCGGAGTGAAGTAAATCTGGAAATGGTAGACTGTGTTGGGATTGGGGGGGAGGGGGGACCATGGGAGGGGCACACTGTCAACATAGCCGATCCTGTCACATTTAAGAGTAGCCTCGTAGGTTGACTTTCTAGTAGCTTCATGGTTAATGCATCCGAATAAGCCATACTGGATTGCGGTGTTTGTTTCTGTAGGGTGTTTAAGGACTTCTTTTCTCCCATGATTCCTCTTGACTGCACACAGCACCCACCTCCAGTCCCGTGCATGCTGCTGCCTCCGGGCAGACATAGAACCCCCCACTTTAGTTACTTGTCTGTTATACCCACTTTCATTGAATCCAGATACATCCAAAAGGTTAAGGCAGTTTCAAAATGTGAAAACATTTCAACATAATAGCAGGGAATTCTTAGAGCAAATGCCTTTTACTTAACTGTGCCCAGCAGGCTGGGCGCATTGAAAAGCCCAAATATTTTGAAAAAAAACTCAAGTGGATTTAACAAGGGTAACCAGCTTGGAGTCTAGCAACTTGCCAATGTGTTTACCAATCCGGGGGCTTGTTTTTCTTAATTGGCTTCATACTAAACATTGGAGAGAGGAGGATTTATTTATTGTCACTGGGAATCTGACCACTAGACTGTCCTTTTTTTGTATTCTAGTAATGTTTTTTGGAATGGATTTATGTCTTTTCTTCTTTAAGTGCAAGTTAAATTTGTTATAATGCCCATCCCCTAAAGCCAACAGAGATTTATAGATTTTGAGGACTCATGTTTGGAGGATACAATGGTGTTTAAAAAAGAAAGCAAGCCCCTTAGCAGTCTGGTCAGTTCCAAGTGCTCCTTGGTGACCGAACCTGTCAAGGGGTAGGAGCTTGGTGGGTCCCACAGACCCTGCAGATTTCTGTTGGCTCTTATCTTCAATTACATAATTTTATGCTTTAATACATAACTGCATTGGATGTGAGAGTAACGTACCTGTATAGTCACTGTTCTATATATTAACATTTAACACTGCTGTGATTGCTCAAGGACATTTTATGTTATGGCTTTAAAGCAAAGGCATGATTAGAAACCTATTTAAGCTTTTTTTTCTTTGAAAAACAAGCTCCTTTCACAGAATATAAGCAACAGTAGTGCCTGTGGTTTAGCCCACCAATCTTGATGACTAAAAGTAGCTGATGCATTGTGCATATGATGCTTGAGATGGTTTTTGCACAAGCAGAAATCACTGCAAGGTAACTACAATAGATAAAAGTGATATTTTAAAACCTTTGAAATAAATGGACATAACTGTACCTTGGTACAGCTTATCACTTGTTTAGTTTTTAAACGTTAGTATAATCTGAAGAAATTTAATATAAAATGTTGCCAAATTCAATGTAGAAAGAATGTGACAAAACACCTTGGGTAGTTCTGTTTGTGTTTTTGCATATTGTAAAAGCAGTGTCACAGCTAAAAATAAAGAAATCGTTTCTAAAGGTAAATCATTGTGGTTTAGTTGCTAGTTTGTACTGAGAGTTGACCTCTCCCTGTGCAGTTTTTTGTTCTAAACTTGTATAAATAACAATTGTGTAATGTGTCTCCCTTCTACCTTGTAACAATTGCTTCAGCCTACATTATAAATAAAGAACCACTAGGAAAAAAAAGTCTGTATTTCAAGTCTTATTAAAATTCAGTTGAGGTCTTCGTCAAATGTTAGATGGACTGAGACTCAGATTGAGCTTACTTAGCAAACTCACAAAACATTATCTTTGTGTTGAGTTGAGCCCCAAGAACACTAGTTGCCTGAGCTAATTGTTTGAATGTAATTCCACTGAATTATCAAGAACTGAAGGTTCTTGATTTGGCCTGGTTTGGTTGACAGCTTTTAAAATGGCTTTATCTTTGAAAGAAACTTCTTCAAACATTATTTGAAGAGTCCTGCTATACCCTGACCTCTGAGTCTGCGGATAATCCAAGCTACAGTAGAGGAAGCAAAGCTGGAAAACTGCCTCCAAAATACGCACCACAAAAGTTTTATCCCAGATTGGACCCTTTAACCCCACCCATCAAACCTCCACTCCTGAGAGAACTTTATAAACTCCAGGTTTATTTGATGAACATGTGCTTGTTAGAGAAAGTTGACCTTTAATCAAGACTAAAATTCCACCAGTGGCATCTTTAGAAAACCAGGAGGGTATCTCAAGTCCTCAATATGAGCATCCCTCTCGGCTTCGTCTTCCTTCCAGGCATGATAGCTAATTAAGCCTTCAACTAGAGTTTGTTCACCTCAATCCACAGTGAATCTTGTCTGGTTCTGCTGCACTGTTGTCCCTTATTGACAACATGTGCTATCTGTGACTCAATGGGGGAGAAAACACATTTGACTGCATGCCACATACTTTTCTTAAGAAAACTGGTTAAGACAGTGGCACAGTCATTTGGTGTCATGTTAATGCTCACATGGAACACATCAGTCATACCACCACGTTGAGTTACTTTTATTAGGGCAAGTGTGTATATTTTCTGTAATGTATTTCACTTGCAAGCATGACTGGTGAGGTGTCTTCCTCTCTCTACATGGGCCGCTCCCGGGGCCTGGTCACAACATACCACCACAGTGGGGGCAAATCACCTTCCTTGCGGGCCGGAGGCAAAGCTTCAGTGCGGGGACCACCAGCCGGGGTTTCCGCCTGCAGTTGCTTTACCTGGAAGGGGTCAAGGAAGGAATGATTAGAAAAGGAGCCAGCCTGCCTGTGCAACCTGCTGCAGTGAAGAGCAATCTTCACTTGTTCCGATTGTGTCATATTACACACTAGCTGATCCTCACGACTGAATGTGTTTTCTATATATACTGACTTTTTTTATACCCACACTTAAACTCAAAAACAATGTTCTCCTTAAAGCTTTTCCTATTCTTAAAATAAAGCTGAGAAAGCCTTTCCCAGCCCACTTCTTATTCATTAACCAAAACCATTCCAATTCCCTGTTATGCCCCCCCCCCACTACTTGTTGCTCCCACAAAAATACATTTATTTTTGTGTCTCAGCTAAGTGTTCTCCCAAAGCACCATTAAAAAACCTCCATTCACGTACATCAGGGATGCTAATTTTAAAGCCCTCCCCATCCCCCCCATAGCAACCAGGACAAGAAGTAATATGAAATCACTTGTAAAAACATGCTCAGTTCTGCCTGATGTTGCCCGACTACTCCCAGTTCCAGGGGTCTCTGAGATGATGATGGGCCTAGCAGAGGAGGACCCTCAGAGACCCAGTTTTCCTTTATGAAGCCTCCTCCGGAAAAATCAATTCTGGATCGTGACTGACCTGAGCCACAAGCACATGTGTTGTTTAATAATGTGGAAGAGAGAAGAGGAAATGGAGGAAGGTTTTGTGGAGAAGAGGTTATCAGAGTGACCAACTGCAGCATGAACCCACTGCTCTCCATGAATAAATTAATACATCTAGAGTTTCCAAATGCTGAGACAAAGGCTTCCATGCAGGGTCAGGACTCCATACCTCTTCTCAAAAACTTCCTTGTTTATCTATTTCATCTCTCATCAACTTCTCCCTCACCCCATATCCTCTAATCAGCATATATGCATCATTATTTTTTCTCTTAAAAGAAAAGAATCCCTTGGCCTCCAATTACTGTTCTTAGCAAAACATCTCAAGAATCATCTCCGCCTCCTGTCTTCTCTTCCTCGCTTTCTGCTCACTATTATCAGTGCGATTAAATCCTCCAGAAAAGGTTCTAGTCAAGACCACTAACGCCCTTCCTATAGCGATGACTCGGCCCCGGGCAGGCCTGAAACACTTTCTCCTGGACTCTGTGCCGGAGGCTCCTTGGTCTCCTTTTCCTGACCTCTACAAATGGGAACTCCTGCGACTTTTTCTCTCTGTTCTCTCTTGAGAATTTCATCCATTTCCGCAGCTCTTAGAACAATGGTTAACTTACAGATTTCTATTTCAAGCTCAAATTTCTCCTGAGGTCCAGATTCCTACATCCAAAGTCACCTACTGATAGCGGCACCTGATGTCTCACAACACTCTCAAATTTAACATTCTTAAATTTAACACTTCAAACCAAACACCTGATTGTCCCTCTGATGCCTGTCCCCCCCCCCCACCACACACACACACACACACACACACACACACACACACACACACACACACACATTCTCCCTGCCTCAATAAACACTATCACCAAATTCCAGATACTAAAGCTTAGAACCTGGAAATTATTCTTGAGTCCTCCCTGTCCCTCACCACCCCCCCACACACACATCCAATCAATCTTCACATCTTCCAAACAGTATCCTGAATCTACTTCCCTCCACAGTCACTGCATCCACCCTAGTGCCGGCTGCCATAAATTTTTTTTTTTTTTAAGATTTTATTGGGGAATTGGGGGAAGGGGAACAGACAAGTTGCTGTCCTTTTGTTCTTCAGTCTAGTTGTGGAGGACGTCGCTTCACTGGCCCATGTTGGTATTATCATTGCACTCTTCCCGGGTGAGGCAGTCGCTCGCCAGCCATTGCTGGCTGCCATAATCTTTTGACGAAACTGCAATAACATCAAATTGGTCTCTCCCCTCCTAACCGTACCCTTTCCAATATATGCTTCACACTACAGCAAGATTGAGCTTTTAAAAATGTAAATCAGGGCCGGCCGAGTGGCTCAGTTGGTTAAGAGCTCGCTCAAGAGTGTGAGCTCTGAGCAACAGCGGTTCAATGCCCGGCCCGAGCTGAGCTGCCGCTAAGCTGCCAACAGGTGGCAGGATGGCTCAGCTAAAAAAATAAATAAATAAAATAAAAATGTAAATCAGACATCAAAAGATGAGTGAAAAGTGTCCAAGGTACTGGTGGAGAGAAAGGTAAAGGGACAGTAGGCTATAGCAAGGTGAGGCAAAGGACTGAGAAGGAGGGGGGGAGAAGCAAAATTAGAGACCAGAAAACCCAGAAGACCAGGGAACACACTGTGACTTATTTGTAAGATGGCTGTAAATATTACATTTAAGACACTTAGAAACAAAGTATATCTGAGAGGCAAGGGGCCAGAGTTCCTTAAAACTGGACTCTGGCCCCCTGTCCAGTGGGGAACATAACCTGAGCTCCTTCCAGGTGTGGACCAGGAGGACCGGGCTACGTGGTAAAATGCAGGTAAGACTCACTTCTCGCTCCCAGCTTTCTCTCCGCAGCTTCTTCCACTGCTCTCTCTTGGCAAAGTAATCAGGATACATTGCCTTCTCGGAAGGATGCCAGTAATCTAAGCACCACTCGGGAACCTGTCAGGAGAGGAAAACATGGCGTCATTCCACAGTGCACATTTACATGCCAATGAAGGGCCTGCTCGGGGGACAGGAGACAACACTCAAGGTGCATTTTTCATAATCATGGCAAGTATCAGGCTGTTTCTGACACTAAGCAATGACTGGCAGAGGACAAGCAGGGACCAACGAAAAGGAGAATGCCTTAGAGTAAAATAGCCTAGGGCTGAAAACCAGCACCGTCAGTCCAAGAAAGACCGGGCACCATTCCTCCCCTACCCATGTTCTCTAAGTATCCAGGGTGGGCTTATGTTCTTTGGATGTCTTTACCTAGACTTTCCCAGAAATACTCAGCACCAATTCAAAGCGGGTTACTTTAAGATCCAAAGATGGGTTATTTGCCAAGTCATTTAACACTGTACTGTGCCAAAAAGATACTGCAAGACCTTGGAGCTGAACGCAGAAAGAAAAGTCCTAACGTCCTCTGGGAGAGAGAAAACTGAAACCTAAAGAAAATTACCTACAACGGTCTCAGGAAAGCAACCTCCTAGCTGCTCCTAAAAGGGCAAGTTTGGACCCGGAGCAGCAACGCCCACCTCCCAGAAGGCGGCCGCCCCTGCAGTGCGCACCTACCTTGTAACACTCGTACCTCTCATAGGAGGTGCCCCCCGGAGAGTCAGGGAAGATGTACGGCTGAGGATGCTGGTTGTACCAGAATTCTTCCTCCGCCTCCCTCAGCAGCCGGGTGGCCTTCACCATATCCTTCTCATTCTTATGTTCTTCAAACCGGGCTCTCATCAAACAAGCAAAGTACCGGTATTTGTCCCTTAAACCAAAATGACGCTGGAGATTAGAAATGATAACCAGCTACCCTTCTAGGCCTACTCAGTTTTGAGCGCTTCTCCCGGCACGAGGTTTGGGGGTTCTGATAAGGGGGTGGAGGCCTGGCAGTCACACATTTGGGTTGTCACCCCACCTTGCATTGCATGGAGGTCACGGAAAAAAAAAATATCTGTATTTAAGACTACGCTCTAAGACTAGTCTCAGATGGATCGAGAGAGGAAAAAGGAAATTGTGTGGGAGGTGAAGGCAATAAAAAGGACTGGAGACGCTACTGTAAAAACAGGAAAGCTTATGGGAACGGTGGGAGAAGGATGATGTTTTGGACTTAAAAAGACACCTGAGTTTTAATCCTGGCTCGACCATTTGTTTACCAGCTGGAGGGCCTTGAGCAAGTTCCTCCCCACGCCGATATTTCCTCATCCATAAAATAAGGCTAAACAGTCCCTAATTCCCACATTTGTTGGGACGACTAAAGAAAATAATGCACCTATTGTCAACTACGTTACTAGGAAGAAAGCTATTTATTTAGCGAGCGCCGGATCCTGAGTCCGTCGTCCTTAACAGGACACTGAGGCTCAACCCAGGGAAGCAACTCTTCAAGGTCTCGCAAGCCACGGGCGGCTCCGTCTGGACTTGAACCAGGGTCTATGGGAGGGCTCATGTGGGGAGAGGGGACGCCTTCCCACTGCGTCCCCGAAGTCCTTGAGATGCGCGGTCCCCCGGGGCCTCTCAGCCACCCTGGGGGGGGGGCCCAGGGTCACCTCCCCGCGCCCTGGAGCCCCCTCTCCCGAACCTGTGGATGCACCACGACTCCAAGTGTCGCAGCGCTCGCTTATACAGCCGCAACACCTTCTGCTGGTGGGTCAGGTAGGCCGCCGTCGCCGAAACCGACATGACGGCCGCCTCACCTTCAGCGGCCGCGAGGGCGCCTGGGAAACGGCTAGGGGGCGGGGCCGCCGGAAGGGCGGGCTTACGGGCGGCCACTTCCGCTTCCGCCGGTGAGGAGCCCCGGGCCGTAGTCATGAGTCGCTTCAAGTTCGTGGGTATGTAAGGTGTTTTCTCGGTTCTCGGGCTTTTCTGACCATCGGGGCGTCGCTCGCCGCGGCCAGAGGACTCGGGATGAGCTCTCCGGCTTTTGGAAGGTTGAAAGGGCTTTCGGTGGGAACGGGCGCCGGTGATGTTCTGGTGCATGTAGGTGCTGGCTTGCAAGGTGTGCTTATTTCTAAAGATTCTCGAGCGGTATGGTTATGATGTATGCTCCTCATACATCTGTGTTGTATTCAATGACAAGAGAAAAGGGAGCAAAACCAATTCAAAAAAGGCCAGTCATTATATTCCCCTCCATCCCACGGTGCACCTCCGCCCCCTTTTCCTTCTCCGTGGCCTAGAGGAGGACGGCTTTGGCCACAGGAACCAGAGGGGTCAGATTAGTTACTACCAGGCACTTAGGAAGACGTGACGGGGGGGCATTGTGAGAACTGGGATTGGGACGCGGGTGTCTCGCTGAGCTTAGTCTTTCTGGGTTTAGAGGGGAGCCTCTTGGCTAATTGTGCCACAGACGTCCTCTTTTTCTGGGTTTGTCTATATGCTGTGTGGTGGTGTCTAGATTGTTCTCCAATCTCCTGTATTTCCTGTAAACTTCAAGTTATAGCTAAAGGTTAAGTAAGTCAAAAACAATTTTAAATGCCGTATTTGCTGCCCTTTAGTATCCCTAGATCGTAGGTGACAGTGATATGACGTGATTCACTAAGCCTAAACAGTGAGGTTATCGGTTTGGAGATGTGGTTTTCTTTTCGTTGCAAACATGTTTTCCACTCTTATTTTGTTTTGAAAACTAAAACTCATTAGTACCGGAATTAATTTGTAACAGTAAAGTCAGCTTTAAAAAAAATAAATGGAAAAGAAACATTGCTGATTCATGTAAGGCGACATGGCATGAAATATATGAATTCTCAATTTTCCTCCCTAATCAGAAGTAGTAATTTTCCACTTTGCCTTTTTTCTACTTCTAGTCATTCTCTCTTACTCCTCTTCTCACTTTCTTAGTTTTTCAAGTTGTTTATTGTCTTTGGTTGGAGCTGGCTAGATTGATGGTCCTATATTATTTACTTTTTTTTTTAAAGTTTATTGCTAATAGACATACTTCTGATTGGGACTTTTTAATTTAAAAGATACTATCCCTTGTTACAGATTGGAACATTTTGAACAAGTTAAATAGGATTTTGACTGGCCTTTTTCTCATGATTGTAGCATAAGTCTTTAAGTTTAAACAGATTGACTTACATTTGGCTACTTAATAGTGCATTCTTGGATTGGGAGCATTAACCACTTAAGGTAGTATGATAGTACAGGTGTCCTCAGAGATATTGTGGGTTCGGTTCCAAACCATTGCAGTAAAGCGAGGCATAATCTTTTTCTGGCAGAAGGCCTTTGCCTTCAGGTGGTAAAACATGCAACATCTGTGAAGCTCAATAAAATGAGGTATGTCTGTATAGCTAATGTTGACTAAAATTCCATTTGTTGTTGGCATGTTACAGAATTTATGCTGTGCTCAGTAAAAATAATTACATTTGACAGGGCTTTTAATTTGCAAAATGCTTTCACATTCATTTTCCAGTTTGAGCTACATTTCATCCTTGAAAGGAGAAATTTTGTGCCCACCCTCCTAGTGAGGAAACAGATGCTCAGAGGCCTACTGATTTGCCCAAAGTCACTCAGCTCATCAATGCCAGGAATTCTGACTTCAAAGCTTATTCTCTTTCCTTACCTGCAAGTCCTCCATTGTATTGTGCTTCTTGGAACTTGCTCACAGATTGAATACTTTTAGAGGATCATTTCGAACTTTCTTTGGCCCCTCTGTATTGTTAATAGTCACCCTGCAGGTGTGCTGGTGAGTAGGTGGGTGGGGCGTGGGAGGCACAGAGGCCATCCAGTATAAAGGAGAACTTCTTTGAGGAAACAGAAGTGAATCACAGAAAAAGAAGATATTTGCCTCTGGAGGGGAGGAAACCCTCTTAGGTTCTATAGCTGGGCCTAAGAATTAAATTGACATAAGACAGGTTAACAGGAGAAAAACTTACGGATTTGACTTTTTCGTATACATGGGTGTCTTCAAAAGGAAAATGAAGACCCACAGAAACTGTTAAGCCCAAAAGCTTAAGTGGGAATGTGATAAGACAAAGGGGCTCAAATTGTGTAAATTGTGGGACAGTGACTAGGAAATATAAGGGGAAACTAATGGAAAGTAAGGGTTATTTGGAGTTTGTTTGTACATATATGTTTTGGCTTTGACTTTCAATCTCTGGTGATAATGTTCTCTTCCTGGTACAGGGAGGGCACCTTTCTCATGGGAAATCTTATGACCTGCTTTTAGGTGGAAGAGGGGAGATCAAAGAGCCTGCCCTGCACCTGCTAATTCTCAAGTACCTTCAGCTCAAAATTACCAGTATGCCAAAGCTTATTTTGGGGTAGCATGTTCTGAACCAAGGTGAAGCAGCTTTTCATCAAAGGATAGAAAGCAGCTCTAACAACAGGCTGAGGAATACACTTCAGACAGACTATATGTCAGAAAGAAAAGGACTTAGGGCCCTAAGTCACAAGAGACTTGCAGAAAAGGGAAGAAACTGGTGCCTGAACCACTGCAGGATATCCAAAATTCCAAGGCTCACCTGCGTCCAAAGCTGAATATAGATCTTTGAAGTACAGTGTGACCTAGGGCCTGAAGGACTGATCCACATCAGGAAGAGGTAGGTTCCCAGAGGAAGTGGTACCACCTGAAATTGGCCTCAACTGGTGTCTGCCTCAGGGTAAGCACTGAAGAACGTTTTAGCATCCATTCCTGTTAGGGTTGAGACAAAGACTTGGAAAAGCTTCATAAATTGAACCTCCAAGCTAATCTTCAATTCACTTTTTAAATTACTGTCATAAAGTTTACTTACTAAATTTGCTTGCTTTTTGTTTTTTGTTTTTCACTTTGTTTTCTAGGAAAAGATTGCTTTGGAAAAATTCTAATCTCTTGGTGCACAAAGGGGAATTGGGCAGAAGAGGTGCAAATGCACATGGTTTTTGTGCTAATGATCATCAATGGTGGATGCTAGACTGACCCCTGGCAAGGATTCTTCTAGGCAGAACTCTCCTCTCTTCCCTTGGTTTCCTTTCTCAGCCTGCCCCCTTCCCTATCTAATTTCCTTTCCTTATAAAAAAAAAGTGCATGCTCATTTCTTGTGATCTGGGCCATTCCACTGAAAAACCCCTATATTTTGGTATTCAATGATGTTTGTTTATTAACAACCTCTAAATGGTACCCGTTGTGAATTCATCTCCCACCCACCATTAACATATGTGCTGTTGGCCAAATATCTTTGAAGTTTTCGGCATTGTGCCTTTCTCTTGCTGTTTCAAATGCCTGTAATACTCTTCCCACCATCTCTTGATTGACTTATCCAAACGCCCATTCACCTTGCAAGGTCTGTCTTACTGCTGAAGCAACAGAGCTGACTGAGGACCAGCTTGGCAGAAATGTAAGGGAGAACATGCTAAGAGGCTGAAACTCAGCAGAAAAAATGTGGGGGTCTATTGGTAGGCAGCAGCCCCCACCACCATGAACTTGGAGATTCTCCTAGCGCTGAAAGCTAACTGGTGTGTATTTTAAATAAGGGCGACATGTTATTGCCCATGGCCATCACAATCTGACTTCACATCTTGTTATTCCCCATGTTCCCTTGTTTTCTACAGCAGCACTTACTGGGAATAGCATTTGATATTTGGGGCTGGATAATTCTTTGTTGTGAGAGGCTAGCCTGTGCTTTGTAGGATATTTAGCAGCATCTACAGCCTTAAGCCTAGGTGCTAGTAGCGCTTCTCATTTGTGACAACTAAAAATGAATACAGATGTTGCTAAATTTGGGGCGGGAGGGTTAGAAGAAGATAGGGGTGCAGAATGGCTGTCCATTGAGAACCACTGCTCTACAGGCTCAAGGTGTTTCTTCCAGTCTTCAGATACAGTGTGTACTGCACACAGCCGTATGCACAATGCCCTTTCCACTCGTCAGCTTGTGAGCTGTAGCTTTCTTCAAGATTGACCTCTTTTGTGAAGCTTTTCTCATCACATTGCCAAAAGTGCTATCTATTGCCCCTTCTTTGTGTGCCCATGTACATAATTATTGGCAGATTGAATGTGTATAGAACTCTCACTATGTGCTGCTAACCTTGAAATAAAAAGGCAAGGTTAGAGGCAACAAGCGTTTATTTGAGATAAAAAAGAATCACAATTCTGGAAAGCACTGATTCAGGCAGAAACCCAAATACTGTTCTGATTAAGAGGTGAAGGCAAAGAAATTTATGAGAAAGGGAAGGGGAATAATTACATAAATAGAAGGAAGGAATTTCTATAGGTATAAGTAAGCTAAGTTATTCTTTAGCAAAACACAGTGGTTCTAATTCTAAAGTATGTTTAATTTTCAGTCCCGTAGTCAGGATGTCTGCTTTGCTGTTAGCTTTGTGAACAGTTGTTTGGAATACAGTGTTATGTGGCCCAGCCCACAGGTTCTTTTCTGCAGTTGAAATATTCCAGAGGTTTGAGGGATAAGACGTGCAAGGCAGTTCCTCTGGATTGGGAGCTCTGACTCCATTTTGAAATGCCTCCATTTATATTATTTTTCACACAACCATTGTGCCACTTTCTAGGGCTACAGCAATGGAGATAAACATTTCTTGCCTCGTGTTGCCTACAGTCTAGCTTATTAATCACAAATTATATTTGTAGTTCCCATATAGACTGTAAATTTCTGGAAGGCAGGGACCAAGTGTTGGGTCTTACTCATTTCTGTGTGCCCTAACTCCTTACATAGTGCTTGGCACAGAGTCGGTCTTCGTAAGTATTTGATGAATAAAGGAGATCATTTATTCTCCTTTCTGCATCTTCACTGGCGTTACCCCAATTCAGGTTCTCTTCATTGGAAATACGAGCTTTTGCCTATTTCCAGTTGCTCCCTTCGAATTGTACTCGCCACAAAGACTCCAGAGTGAGATGCCTTCCTGACATCTCATTCCTCTGCTTACTCCTCTGCTTAAAAGCCATCATTGCTTCTTGATAGCTGAGTCTGGCCGTTCTCTTCCCTACACCTTTCTCCAGCAGCTAGAAGGGCCTGCAGTTCCCCACGATCATTGTGCTGTTTCGCACCCCGGATGCTTTGCTCCTGCTTCTCCTCCTGCCTACAATTTCCCTTTTCCTCGTTAACTCGGACTCATCCTTGAAGGTTCAGTTTAGGGATCCCTTCTTTCTGGAAGCCGCTGCTGGGCCAGCTACCAGACTAGGTTAGGTTTTCCTCTTCTTTGTCCCACAGCGCCAGTGTCTAATTGTAATATTTCTTAATTATCTTCCAATAGGTCTTCCTTCCCAATTCTGCCACAAGTTTCTTAACAGCAGGAATTCTCTCTTACTCATCTTGTATTCATCTCTTACTCATCACCAGGTGTCTAGCACAGGAACTGACAAGCTGTAGGCACTCAGTTTGTTTGAGTGAATGAACGTGTGAATGAAGTTTTGTAACAGGAGCTTTTATTTAAAGTAGAAGTTCAAGTAGACATTCTTGATGATTTATCATTTTATTTTTGCTTCCCACAGATATTGGTATCAACTTGACAGATCCTATGTTCAGAGGAATTTATAGGGGGGTTCAAAAGCATCAAGGTAAATGTTTCTTTTATTAAGGTAAATAGTTTCTTTATGAAGATAAATCCTTTTCCTCAAGGAGATCTTGAAAAGCATAATCCACTCTTAAAACTGAAATATTAAAGGACTTATGCATCTTGGATAAAACTGTAAACAAAGTGAAACACATATAAGCCATGTTGGTAAACCGTGATCATGAACATTTATAAAGTACCTATTATAACAAAGTGTTAATCATGTGCTTCTTATCCTAAGAAGTTTATAATTTTGAATATAGAACTTTAAATAAACCATATGTACAAAAGTCAAACATAGTTGATGTTTAGTCTTTTAAGCAATTGAACAGTGGGACACATAATTAAAGTCAGTATGTCTAGATTTTTGGAAACATTTTCAGCTGGGTGACTCAGTGGCCAGTGATTTAGGAGGTGGCACTGCAGTCCATCCTCCCTGTCTTGCTTTCCCCCTTTCCAGTGAGACCTACTAGATCCTAGATGCCTACAGTATACACAGGTGGGAAGAGGAGTGCCTCAAAGATTGGTGGGAATCTTAGCCAAATGCAAAATGGCTTATATTTATCATATCCAGTGAATTTTAAAAGTTTATTATGTCAGGTGACTAAGCAGGAAATGATGGTGACAAATTCTTAAAAGCAGAATTTTTCCAATAAATTAGCCTGTGAATATTGCCTCAAAAAATTACTGTACTTGTGATTATGTAAATGCAAACAGGAAAATTTGGTTTTGTGGTTCCAGATGATGTGAAATTGCACATTTCATCAAGTTCAGCCAGAAGCTAATCTTACTCGGCCTTTAGGTGATACTAAGTGAAAGCTCTAAATATAGGGAGTGTTAGATGAAGAAAGGTAAAAGGGAGTGTTAGATGAAGAAAGGTAAATGTTAGCTTTCATAAACCTTACCTCAAAACTTCCTTTTCTACTTCATTTAGAAGTTTAGCTGAGGTCTTTGTGTTACTTACATAGTACAGTTCAACTACTAAATAAATTAGTCTGCTTTTCTTGTCTTTATGGCACTTAATAGATTACATACTTTCTAACTCTAGGTTTGTATACGTGTGCTTGTGAAGTAAATTTTATAATGAACAGTATCAGTATTACTCTAGTTTATAGTAACTAGCAAAACTGGTTGCCCTACTTAGTTTCTAAGTTCACTAAATTGATTATTTTTTGTCTAAAATAAATATTATTGCTACTCTAGAAGTAACAGTAATTGAATTCCAATATATTTACTATGATGCTTAAATATGAAACTAAGAAATAGATTTTTATGACATAACTGTTTAATTTTGCTATCCATTTATCTCTCAGAGCTTAGTAATTGCTGTCCATCTCTCCAGAAAAGTGTATTGTTACTTTACAATGAATTTTGGGAAAGAGCAAAAACAACTGTCAGGGAAATTCTCTTTCCTCAATGGGAATGGTAATGATAGAAATACAGCATTGACTAAAATTTATAAATAGATATTATGTCATGTTTTTGGAGGCACTGCAGATGTGCTCTGAAAACCCCTAGTAAAAATAATCTTAATGCTTGTCTTTTATGTTTTAAATAAAATACAGTACCAACAAGTTTGAAATTCAAAGCTAGTGACTTAAATTGTAGTGAGCAAATTCATCTATTTTTGAACCTCCTGATTTTTGTCACTTTTCCTTTCAGTCAGCAGAGTAAAAATACAATTAAAAGGATACTTCTTCATCTAGTCTGCTTTATACAGATTTCTTTCCTTTTTTTTTTTTTAAGGTTACCACTAGCTCTATTATAAGAAAGTACTCATTAAACAGTATTAATTTGATTTTGATTTAGTAAATGTGATTCTGTAGCTAAATGGATTTTTATTGACCAGGTTTCCTTACTGCAGCATTCATTCATCTTTTACAGATGACTTACAGGATGTAATACAGAGAGCTGTCCAAGTTGGTGTTAAAAAGGTAACATCTAGTTTTTGTTACTCTTGAGATTTTTTTTTTTTAAACTAAATTTTGGTTAAAATACTGCAGAATAGAAGGGAAAGAGCCAATGCCACAATTGGCATTTTTTGAGACTATATTGTCAATATGTAATATTAGCAAGGTAATGAAATAAAATATATCAACATATTCTGTTCAGAGCAGTTTAAATGATTCTGTTTAAATGACGCAGACCTCATGGGTAGTCCTCCCATATGATCAGAAACGTGGTAATGGCAGAGTGTCTGCAATTTTTTTTTAAACCTATCTGAATTATCAGGCTTCTGAAGAGGCAACTCTTTACTACATTTTATAACATACTTTAGCACTTACCTAGGAGTTAAGCAATCAAAAAGACATGAATCTGTCACCAAGTCTAGTTTTTATAGTATGGGTATACCATTTCAAATAACTATAATAATTTAATTATTGGGAAAATTCCTACTACTTTTTAGAGAGTTCTGAGCAAATGAATATTAGTTCAGTGTCAAATTCTTTGAATAGATTTTTTTTTTAAATAGCAAGTTAGTACTCACAAGAAATAAGGTTAAATTTCGTTGTGGTATCAGGGCACTTGGTGGCTACTGCTTCTAAGTTAAATAACTTCGTTTTAAGAAGTGACTGCTGACTAAATGAGTTCTGTCTACAACTGTAAAATTGTATGTTATTGTAATAAGAAAGGTTAACAGTTACGTTAATTTCTCATTGTGTAGTCATTCTCTGCTTGGTAAATCATTTTATGAAATGCTTTCAAATGCAGACTGAAAAATACCAAGCTCCTAAATTTTCATGTGTTAGCCATGAATAGTTCAAGCTTAACATTTCTAGTCACACACACACACAGACTTAGGAATGACAGGACTGAAGTGAAATGTACTTAGACCTGGTTCCAAATTGAAATTTAATTCAGTATCTTGCAGGTAATTGTAGTGGTTGGAAGTTAGGTTATGGAATTTCAAACCTGACTTCAAACCCCAGCTTCATTCTTCATAGCTTTGTAACCTGGGTGCTTCATCACTGTAGACTTCAGTTTTCTTGTCTGCACTTGGAGAATGATAATAGTACCTAATTAATAGAGTTGTTGTGAGGGTTAAATAAAAATGGAATGGAAAGCACTTGGTATTGTATTGGGCATAAAATAAACAACCTCTGTTATGTTTATGGTGGAAGCTGCCATCATCTTATCAACATGGGAGATGAAATTATGTCCTCTAGTCTTGCTCTTAACTTTTTTCATCTATTTGGAAAAGTTACAGATAAAATAAAAGGTAAACTTGATCAGAAACTATTTTACATAATTGAATTTCTGAATTTGGGCATCTGGTCTTGTATTAAAGAATTAGGTAGTATTAGTAAACAAGGTTTTCCTAATATTTTTGTTAATAATCTTATACCCTATGTTTTATAGGCAGTTGAGGATTTAATTATGGCTATGGGTTACCTGATAGATACTAGTGTCTATCATGTTACACGTTTAAGTTGCTATGTGAAAATGTCTGTTTATCATTTGTACTCCCTCCTGTGCTTTGTATGTTTTCTCTTTAGGTATGTACCTAGAATGAGTTCTTCATTTTAGCTCAATGAAACTCTTGAAGTATGCTTTTAAAAATATGCATCTTAGTGCTTCAGTTCCTTCTGTAAAAGAATGTGCACTTAGACGGCACTGCCTCAATAGTCACCATCAACACATAGCACTTTGGTGGCATTTTCCTTTTAACAGATTTGCAAAGCTGGTGTTCCAACAGCCAGTGGACCCTAACAGCTGTCTCTAGAAGTATGCTTCTTTGCCAGGAGCCATATATTTCTCTACAAAGAATTCATCAGTACACACTATTAACCAATTAACCCAGCTCTCAAACTCTTAGTCTCAGAGCGCCTTTATATTTTTTAGTAATATTGATGGTCCCAAAGAGCTTTTGTTTTATGTGGGTTTTATCTAATACATGGTATCGAAAGTAAAGCAGAAAAAACTTAAATATCTATTAATTCATTTAAAAATGACAAATCATTATATCACATAAATAGCATACTTTTATGAAAAATTAGTATTTTACAAATCAAACAATTTAGTGCACGAGTGGAATTGTTTTACATTTTTTTACACCTCTTTAATATCTGGCTTAATAGAAGACTGCTGAACGTTGAATACTGTTTCTGCCGTTAGTCTGTCGTGATATTTATTACACACCATGTGGCCTCTGGAATTCTTCACTGCACACGCATGACATGACCGAGCGACAGTGAAAAGGGCAGAGAGAGGGCCAGCCGAGTGGCTCAGTTGGTTAAGAGCTCGCTCAAGAGTGCAAGCTCTGACCAACAGGGTAGCCAGTTTGATTCCTGACCCAAGCT